TGAATTATTTAAGACCACTACGTGATTGGCCGACAAATCCGGTATGCCTCAATAATTTACCAATCATACACGGTCCTTTGTGTTTTATACGCCACGTTTCGAATAAATCGCATTGCGTATTCAGGAGAGCGGGATCCAACTCTATCCACCGTGGTGAACGCGAACCCTCCTCTCGCCGTATCTAGAAGAAAAAAAGAGAAGAAGAGAGAAACGGAAAAAATCGGACGGTCCGTCTGGATGAGAGAAATCGAGAGGGGAGAGGCGGCGATCGCCGAAAAAAAGGTTTCGATTTCGCGAATGTATCGAAATTCTAATTTAAATTTATGGGGTGGGGGAATCGCGTGCAGCGATGGATTCGACGGAGGAGGGAAAAGAAAGGATCGCGGCATAATAAAACACGGGCTGATTTCGGTAGGAGGAACCTCTTATCTGGAATCGAACGTCTGGGGCAAGTAAACTAAGCGGAAAAAGGGTGGTGGAAAGAGCGAGCATTCGATGTAAATTGGCAATTTTTCTCGTGCGGCGTACGGTAATCATTGGCAATTAGACCACCAGCTACCGATAAATGTTATTTATGGCCACGATTATCCGTGGCGCACCTAGCTGCTCGAAAGGTTTGCCCAACTATAAAACCTTCCCCTTCTACCGTCCACCGGTCTAATTGGTCGACGATTATTCCTGTTTGTACAAAATGTCGGTACAAGCGCCGGTTTACATGGTCGCAAATACAGGCGGAACTTTTCGCTGAATCGCGTGGACCGGCTTAATGCGCGTGGATCACGGATACCCGTGAACGACTTAACCGAGAGAATTAGCGTTTTAATACGCTTCGTTGGTTGGTTGCTTCGAGGTGTCGATCGTTACCTTATTTATACCTAACGCGTTGAAAACTAACGCGTAGCGATGGAATAGAAAAGAAAAAAAAAAAAAAAAAAGAACGTTACAAACTGATCAATAACGAAACTATTATATTTCTTTCTTGAAAAATTCGATCGTAAACGCGCGATCGATTTAAAATAATTTGGAAGGAAGATATTTTTATAAAGGACAACGGTGAACGTTAATAACCCTTCTGGTAATATTTTTCTACGGATAGGCGGGCGAGGCAGGGACGGAGGAGAAGGCCGGTAACCGTGCGAAAATCGTATTCCATCCGCTGGACGTGATTAAAAGGGAAGGAAGGTGGGCGTCCGCGGTCCTTGAAACAATATTATTATTAAAAGCTTTGCGCCGGCCCACGTGAGTCGACGGAATGACGAAAAGAGCGGTGGATCGGTCGGCCTGGCTAGGGACAGGGAGGGAGGGAGGGTGGCTCGGGTCCTGCGACGGAACAACGATTAATTAAAAGAGCAAAAACTGTTTTCATAAAATTCATTTGCGGAAATATGCGCCGACTGAAATAATATCCGGCCGATGAGCGCGCGTGTCCCGCGTGATGCTTCCCGGTGAAAAACCGATGCGAATAAAAATGGAGGCCGGAGACGAAATGCGAAAGTTTTCGCATTTTTTTACGTTTTCGCCCAGCGGGCCGTGGTATACGTTATCGCGCCAACCGCACGCTCCGTGTTGGTGAGAGTACGTTTATTCCCTTGACCCAGCATCGTAAGCGTATCCCGTGCATACACCCCCGTTACAAAAAGCGACCAATCTTCTCTCTGTCTTTTCTTTCTTCTCTCTCTCTCTCTC